GACAAAGTATGGGCAGTTTTGCAACCGTGCGGTTCTCTCCTCAGCTTACTTCCTTGAATAAGATGCCCTTCAATTTTTAACGTAAGGATTTTAGAAAAAAGTATCATCTTACAGTCGGAAAAATACGGTACTTTTGTGACCTTCAAGAGAACAAGGGAAATCTCTTTGGGCAACAAATTCCTATCCTGCTTGAAAAGTCTCTCTCAGTTCAGAGGTATCCAGCGTAAGCCATGATGACGAGATATACACATTGACATCATACCAGTGATGCTGTTTATGTCATTTGTATCATCTTGTCATTACAGGCATATTTTGTGTCATTTGTATGATGTCATGGCATGCACAATGTCACTCGTTCCCTCTCTCCCCATGGATTCCTATGTCTCTGTTACATTTTCTCATCACATACCCCTGCTTGTTTTTTGGTTTTTTTTTTAGAATAATCACTCCTTCAATTCACAGGTAATTATTTGAGGAAAAATCTCATATTCTTACAATTCAGGTCAGTCCAAATATAACATAAAAATTACAATCTAGAGAACTGAATTTTAGTTGGCAGATATAGAGAAAATGGTTCGTTATAGAAACCATTACAGAGAATGTGGTATGGAAACTGACTGGTGTGACATTGGAACTGAAACTAGGGTGTACTTTGGTCATTAAAATTCACAATTAGCATACGTTTTTTCCCCGATTTTAGAATTGGGAACTATTAAGCAACTGATGCAGACCAATAGAACAGGACTGGAATCAGATTATCCACTTCTGCATTATGTCGATAGGGATAACATTGTCATGCAGAAGGGCACACAAAAATGTAGACAGGTTTAGATTCAATTCCTGGTTTCTCTAATTAAAAGCCCAACCCCAAATAATAGAAACAGACTTTTGCTCAAGACCTTGTTGATAAAAAATAATTATTTATTATGCCTACCGGTTATTAACTTTTGCTCCTGGACATAATTGGAATTTGTAGCTTGGTTTCAGTTAACTGCAAATAACACGTTACATTCCTTTTGACTGTCATAAGCAGCAATCGGCTTTTTCATAATCATGGGACGCTCAGGGCATTCTCACCTGGGAGAGTTCGCTAATTATGAGTTACCCTGATACCTCTCTTCCTAATTTATCTGCCACCCTAAGTTGGAGTCTGGAGCACAAAATCAAACAAGCAAAAGAGGAAGGAGGGTGAGGCTTCATTTAGCCTAGCCTAGTCTGAGAAACAACATTAGTCAACATTATGATCTGAGCATTTAGGAACATATTTATATAAACATGAAGTGTAATGAATATTGATTAGACCTCACTTTCTAATTTAGACAGCTCTGTCTCTTACTGTTCATCATTCCCCAAGCCATATAAACAGATACAAAGATGAGTGAGACATCAGTTCTCTCGCACTACACATACTCAGATTTAGCCGAATTTAATTTTGGGCATAGCATTGCCTTACAATATCCCAGGAAGATAGGCCAATTTTATTCTTACATTATAGAAGGGGATAAAACTAAGAAATAAACCACCTGGAAAAATTACACAAGAAGTAAAAGCTAGCCTAGCATAGCTCCATTTTTTAACTTTCCTACTAACTTCAGATTACACACCACATACCAGAGATACATTACTGTCCCAATTCTTGAGAAACATTTTATAGTGTTTTAGAAACCTAGTTATCGCCAAAATACTATAATTTCTTCTTATACCATATCCAGTATTCTAAGGTGCTATATAAAAAGATTATTAATACAACCATAACAGAAGGTTTGTTATGAAGTTACACATATTTTCTATTTCTGATCTGTAGTAAGTGATTTCTATTAATGACAAAATACCCATAATTAGAATTAGCTGCCCAATTATATATGCATCTGGAATGAGATGAACACGTTGTTACATTGGGATCATTCTTATAGTGTATGAGTGGTAATTATTTTTCTTCATTAGCCCATAAATCTCAGTTGAATGTATGTAATATATGTAATCTTATACATATGCATATGTTCTGAAATAAGTTCCATTTGGTCAGTTTTAGTCAGTCCCAATGAGAAGATGATGAAGTCTCAATTGCTTTTGCAAGTTAATAGTCCTTAATTTTTCCACATGATATCATATCATGCATATTGGGTGAACAGATATTATAAGTCTATAATTTATGATTCATGCAGCACCATTTAATTATATGAAACTTCACAAAACTCTCTACTTCAAATTACGTCTTCTAAGTTTGATTTCTTGCATTTATGATTGCAAGAATGCAGGCGTGAGGATGGATTGTATATTTCTTAAATTATAAGGTAGCACTGTCACGTTTTTATCTTCTTAAGAAAGCTTCTGTGTTAACCCTATGATGAGTACACATTTGGGTTTGGCTTTTTCCAGAATGGATATTAATACATTGATGAGGAAAACTCAACCTGTCTTTCCATAGTTCGCAATGAATGTAAATGTAATAAAAGTCAACAGGCCCTATTACAAATGGATGAATTTAGAATTAGGCCCTTCATGAGAATGCTCCAGGAAATGCTCCAGGAAAACATCTTTTCAAAATCTGCCTGGCCACTTTAATTACTATAAAGAACAATACTTATAACTGGAGACATCTCTGTCTGTTTTGAGGCAACAGGGCAGCTCTCTCCAGAAAGATGGTGTTCATCAATTATCTTTGACTAGATCCATCACAGTGTGTGCACTGAAATAATTTCTAGAACATTGGAATTTTTTTTTTTTTAAAAGCCTCTTGTAATTTCACTAGGCAGAACCTGGCAGGGACTTTCTAAAGTTTGTAGATGTGTAAAAGAAAGCTGGAGTTAATAATAAGATAGGTTTGAGTTCAGCTGGATTCATCACTTCCATACTCATCTGTTGAAAGTAAAGCAGCATGGATGGATGCTAAAATCCACAATTATGGGCAGAATGAGATGCGCATCCAAATGCAGATCTATCTACGATAGAGTAGAAGCTCAGTTTGGAACCATCACCCAGTCATCACCCTGCATCTAAGAAGATTGTGCTGAAGAGACATTGCTATATGGCTGCTTTCTTTGTGCTAGCTGAGAATTATGGGAGTTATGGTCCCAACACAGCTGGAGGGCAGTGAGTTGGGAAAAGCTGCTGAGGGGGGAACTATTCCAACCATATCTTGCCTTTAGATCAGGGTTTCTCAACCTTGTCAACTTTAACATGTGTGGACTTCAGCTCCCAGAATTCCCCAGCCAGCACACTGGCTAGGGAATTCTGGGAGCTGAAATCCTCACATCTTAAGGTGGCCAAGGTTGAGAAACACTGCTTTAGGTAGTTGAAGAAGGGGCAGCAACCATACGGGACTCTGTTCTTTTCTTGACTTCGGAGGATTTCTTTTTCTTTTCTTTTGAGGAGGAAGAAGGGTACGTTCTGGATTTTGTTTGTTTTCTTTTATCTTGAAATATAATTCCTGAGATACTGCTGCTTAAATTGTCAGAGAATTGCATTTTATTCTTTCATTTAGTATTTGACTTTTGTAAATTATCTTGGATGCCACTGTGCCTGAAAAACAGTACAGAATTTCCTTTTGTATTCAATGCATATCTACATCTGCCAAAAATATTTGTCAGGATATTGCACAATTAGCATTGGAGTGGATTGATAATTTGTCAAGTAGAGTGTTCAGTTAGTCTAGCAAACTTAAAGGGAGGTGAAGAGTTTTGCCTTCTGTCCTATTATCCCATGTCTATCAATGACTTACTATTATGATGCTTTGGTATATTATGACATCATGATAAAATAACCTGGTACTGATGTCACAAGGCTCCATATGTGACCTCTGACTGATTTGAAAGCATATAAAGAAAGCCTTAATACTTGCATCAAAGAAGCAGCATATGGAAATGTAAACAGGCATTAACAAGTGTGGAAGGTCTCTGATGCATAAGATTTTGCATTGCACTTTTCACTCTCCTTCAAGATCCCAGTTTTCATACTCAGAGAGAGGGGGAAAAAACCCTTAAGATTCAGCACAACAGTACTTTCTTTCTCAACACAACCATTTTCTGAAGCATATTGTTTCTTGCCAATTCTGTTGGATTTCAACTCCCAGAATCCCCCAAATAGCACTGGATTATGAGATCTGAAGGCCATTAAATTGGGGAAAGCAACTTTGCAGTCTAAGCTAATCATATATGTAAACCCTAGCATCTTGGAATCCAAAGTGCATGTATATTTTAAAAAAAAAGTGGGGAGAAAACCTTCTAAAGCATTTGTTCTCCATTATCCATTGTTTTAAACACAGAATCTTCCCCTAAGATTTTGCAAAGTTCATTTAGTCTCTGCTGCATTTTTGGCATCCCTGCAAGTTGAGATTCCAGTCTCTGCTTTTCCTCACTCAGTGTTAAGCGAATAGCAGTGTCCAGCTCTTCAAAACGCCAACCTCCTTCCCCATCAAACTGTAGCAAGTGTGTGTGGTACTTCCTGCAGAATAATGAAAAAAAAATAAAACACTATAAAATTGAGCAATGGGATCTGGAATCTGTGCATTAATATATGCTTATGAGCTGGATCATCATAGGATACTGGAAACAGCAAGATTCTTTAAAGCCAGTTTTCTAGTCTTCCCATCTCCAAATGTCCTGGGAAAGATACTCAGAAGTTCCTCCTCCAGCTTTATTGTATCTCACTGTCATCCAGTTCTGCCCCCCTCCTGACACTTTGGGAAAGATCCAGAGAAACTGGAACAGGTACAACAAATGGGCCATGAGGATGATCAAAGTACTGAAAGGAAGTCTTACAAGGGAACATTGAGGGGACCAGGTATGTTCGTGTTTGAGGAGAGGCAACTGAGAGGGGACACGATAGCATTCTTCAAGAACTTGAAGAGATACTACACAAAGGACTTATTCTCCATCAGTGCAAAGTGGAGAGCACAGCATAATGGCCTTAATGTATCACAAAACAAATTCTCATTAAATGTTAGGAAAAATATCCTAACGGTAAAAGCAATTCAGCAGTGAAACTAAGAACCAAGGAAAATGCTGAGCAAACCTTCACCACAGGCTGGAGAACCATCTGTCAGGGATACAGTACTTTAAATTTGGATGTCTGCATTCAGCAGGACACTGGATCTGATGGTTAAACATGGTCCTTTCCAAATCTATTATTCCAATTTCACTCCTCCAAGCATTGAAGAATCAAATGGTGTGCAAACCAAATAAATAAAGGCTTTTTCCTATCTATTGGGGCAATGGCAGAATCATAGAAATTGACATTCTTTGGGAGCATTGTTCTCCATAACTATGGTTTCATGGAGGTGAAGAGAATGGCACAATGCCATACGGCATACATGTAGAGGGGGAAAAATCAGTAAAAGGATGATTGTTGTACTTGTTCAAAGCTTGCTTTAAACCTCTTGACTGGGAAACCCTTTGCAAATTACAAGTTGTGAAAAACTCTGTAAAGTAGTATTTATATAGCACTAGCTGATAAAACCTACATTATTTGATGACTTGCTGAAAGATGGGGAAGAGGGAAGAGTGTAATCCTCTTTAAAGACTCACCAAAGAGATAGCCTGTGTGTTATTGAAAGCAGGGATATGCCAGCTCCCTTAGCAGCCTGGAATATCTTTCCTTCCACATCAACGCTGACAGCACTCGTACATTCATCTAGCAATGCATATTTAGGCCTTACAAAGAAGAGAGAACATGGTTATTCTTTTTTTTCCCCCCGCTGTTCCCCTGAAGATCTTGTTTCTGTATTACAGGAAGCAGTCAATGAAATATTTGGTCTCCGGTGGCTGCTGCTGCTGAATGCCAGGTCAACCTGCAATAAAGCTTACCCCATCCAAAATCTGACCGTGGATGAGAGAGCCAACCTGGCTTGTATCACCAATACCTGGTTGGACACTGAAGTGTGTGGGGGGATCCCCTCTCTGAAATGGGCCCTCCTGGGTTTTGAGTGTGGCATCAGCCACGACTCCAGGCTAGGGGTGGGGGTGTGGCGGTTGTTATTTGTGAGTCTCTGGTGGCCTCCAGAGGCCCTGCCCCAGACATCACTGGATGCGAGATCCTCTTTGTGAGACTGGGCCATAGAGATCGGTGGGGATTGCTGCTCACTTACCTTCCTCCCTGCAGCGTAGCTGCATCCCTGCCTGTGCTCCTACACTCTGTGTCTGAGCTGGCAGTTCCCCAGGCTTATGGTTTCAGGGGATTTCAACCTGCCAATATTGCGCCCAGGGTCTGAGGCAGCACAGGAGTCCATGACCACCATGGCAGCCATGGACCTCGTTCAACTTATTCATGGCCTGACTCACATGAGGGGCCGTACACTGGATCTGGTGTTTGCCTCATGGCAGTGGCGTCATGATCTGGATTTGGGGTACATTAACAACAGTCCCCTGTCATGGGCAGACCACTCCCTGTTGGCCCTAGAGTTCTCAGCAGCTGCCCCTCACTGCAGGTAGGTGGGGCCTGTTAGATTGGCCCACCCCCGATATACCCAGTGTGGTTTCAGAGGGAACTTTGCCATCCATCTTGTGCGCCAATTGCACCCTTTCCTGGACCGGGAGGTCTTGCTCATGGTCACTCATGTCTGAGTCACTTCCCGTTTGGATTACTACAATGCGCTTTACATGGGGCTGCCCTTCAAGACTACTCGGAAGTTACAACTGGTCCAGAATGCTGTGGTGCGATAGGATCGCCCACGTTACACCTTTATTGTGTGAGCTGCACTGGCTCCCAGTTTCCTTCCAGGTGCAATTCAAGGTGCTGGTTATCACCTTTAAAGCCCTACATGGCACGGGACCTGGTTATCTGCAGGACTGCCTCTCCCTAAGAATATCTGCCTGTCCCACTAGATCAGATAGGGTGGGCACACTCCAGATCCCTTCCCTGAAATCCTGCCACCTAGTGGGATCTCGTAAGCATGCCTTTTCCACGGCTGCCCCTACCTTATGAAACACCCCCCATCCCCCAGCACCAGGCCCCCACCCTTTTAGCCTTTTGGAAGGCCATCAAGACCTGGCTTTTTACCAAGATGCTATGCTATGCTATGCTATGCTATGCTATGCTATGCTATGCTATGCTATGCTGGGCTGGGCTGGGCTGGGCTGGGCTGGGCTGGAATAGAATAGAATAGAATAGAATAGAATAGAATAGAATAGAATAGAATAGAATAGA